TGAAGCAGCAGCTTGCAGAGACGTGGCAGGGTCCCAGATCCATTGAGAAACCTCAGTGCTTCCGTTTCCTCTTCATATGCACCAGGCAGGCGAGTCACCTCCAGCCCGAGCGCTGGTGCCCAGTAGAATAAATATTTCCACAGGTACCAGCTCACCCACTCACCGAAGGGGAGGGTGTAGAGGGGGGCGACGTGTGTCCAACAGGGCGGGGAGAAGACAGTCTGCCTTGGATCACGGCAGGAACGTCAAGCAGAACAATTAACACCATTCAACTGATGTCTAAAGGAGTCTCCAGCGCTTCCCCATGTGAGCCAGTCACATGTCTCGTACAGCCCAGGCATCCCGGCGTGTCACATCCTGCCATGACCCAAGGTCAAGTCAGCACCCGCCCCGGCAGCCCCGTGAGCCCCGGGGCGATGGGCAAACCCCAAACCCTCTCTGCCCTTGAGGGCGCCCCCTGCGCACCCGTCCCAGCCACCTCCACCCCAGCCCGGTCGCCTGTGGGCGAAGCAAGGTGGCCGTGCCAGGGCCACGGGAGGAGAGCCTTACCGTTCTCACCTCCGGGGAGGTGGGTACAGGGAGGGAGCAGAGCCTTGCTGGCTGGCAACGATGGCTGTGGAGGAGAGACCTGCAGAAGAGAAGCAGCATCAGGAACCAGTCACCCAGGACAGGAACCCAGCCACGCCGAGGGAGCTGGAAAGCGCCGGGTTGGGTCAAAGCAAAACTCAGCACAAGGGCTCACTCTGCCCAACGGTGGCTACGGCTCCTTCCTGGCTCCCCCAAACTGTGCCCCCCAGCCCCGGCTGGGGGCTGGCGTGAGGCTCGGCTCTCACCTGTTGCATAGGGCAGGTTGTACTGCGCCGGCAGCAGCGAGTACCCGAGGTGGTGGTGGTGGTGATGTGTGGAGAGCAGGCGCTGAGATGGCGAGGTGCGGGGCCGGTCGGTGCTCCTCTCTCCCCCGCTGGCTCCCCCGACGCTGCTACAGCTCCCGCCTCCTCCCACCACCCCGCAGCCACTGCGGTCCCGCTCCTGAGACGTCTTCTCACTTATCTGGAGAGGCGAAAGCAGACGCACGCTGAGGGACACTTCCAGCTACCCCGGGGCGCAGGGCAGCATCGGACTGTGCCATGCACTCGAGGCCACCCCATCAGGACTACACTCCCCCTGCCTTTGCCCAAAAGCTCCCCACGACACTGCTGGGAGATGACGGGATGCCCAGTGACCAGCCGAAGAGCAGTGGGGAGGATGTAGGTCCTGTTTGAGAGCAGCTCCCTCCTCACTGTGTCAAAGCTCCTCCATCTCCCAGCTCAGCCCAGTAGGAGCTCATGACCCTACACTGCTGTGGGATGGAGACAGCCCCTGCACCCCACCCACCAACTCCAGGGCTGAGGACAAGTGTCACTCAGTTGCTGCAGGGTCTGGAGGAGCCCTGGTGCTTCTCTGGGCCACCTCTGCCCAGAGGTTTGGCTTGTCCATCCCAAAGGCATTGTGTTGTGGGATTACTCCACAGCCCCAGGGTCTCCTACAGCAGCAGCAATGTCAAAACCACACAGCAGGCAGTGCTGCTCCAGGCTGCTTACAGGATCCAGGGACCTCCCCAGAGCTCAGGCACAGAGCTGGGCAAAGCCAGCACCTTCCTGACCCTCACCGTGGGCGATTTGCTCTTGTAGTGGCTGGCGTGCTGCTGCAGGATGTCCAGGGCCTTGGACTCCGAGCTGGATTTACAGCTCACGCTGGGGCTGGCTCGGGACTTGTCGCTGTCGTCGCTCCCGGACGCCTTGCTCCCATACGGGGAGAAGGAATAACTGGAGGGGAGGTATGATCCTGGGGGGGGGGGTAGAAAAAGCAGTCAGGGCATGAGGAGTCTTCGGGTGGCCAGTGGGAGCATGTGGCTCTGTATGTGTGCCGCCACGTGCGAGAGACGTCCCACGGCTGCCCCCCGATCCAGGAGCAGCGACAGCCTGGGAAGGGACGTCCCCGAGAAGACCCCGTCTCCCTACCTGGGTAATTCTGCATCATGACGGTGGGCATGGCCCGGTAGCTGGGGTGGTTGGGGTCGTACGACTGGCTGTAGGAGTAGCCGTGCATGTAGGGGATGTAGGACTGATGCTGCGTGAGGGGTGAAGACACAGGGACGTGGACGCTGGGTCTGGGGTCCTTCCCCACCATGCGAGCCTCCTCGGTGGGGGTCAGTTTGCACTCAGAGCTGGTGCTCTCCTTCCCGTCCTCCTTGGATGCAGCTTCTTTGCTTCGGTTTCTTTCTTCCTTCAACTTTCGGTCCCTCTCCTCTTTCCACCGCTCGTCCTCCGTCTTGATGTCCGAGTACTTCGCCGGGTACACGTAGGTCCACATCCGGGGCTCGGCTTCCTGCAAGAACCACACAATCATCAGAGCAGCTGCCTCCCCCCAGCCCTGCCTGTCTCAAAACCAGGCTGGATTTGGAGAAGGCCAGCGAACCCCACCCTCTTCCCCGGGTCTTCCTCGGCCCTTTGGTGGCCTCCCAGCCCCATCCTTTTGCCAGCCCCAAGGGAACCTCATGGAGTCCCATCATAAGCAGAGGACAACACATGTTCTCTGAAGTAACAACCCCAGCAAACCCCCACAGCAAAGCCACGGCGAGGAGCTTCCTTCAGCAGAAAGCCCACCACCAGGCTAGCAGGCAGGGCCTAGCGGGCAGCGGGCAGGCATTACCTGTCTGTACCAGAGCACAGGGTCCACCTCCGCTTGCCGGCCACACTCAGAGCCAGCCTTTGTCTCGGTGGTCTCCTTCCCAAGGTGGCTGGCCTCGCTCAGCTTCACCTTGAGCCCCTCGGCGACCTGGCTGCTAGACAGCTTGGATGAGTCCTCCAGCTTGGGGATGATGACAGATTTGGCCATGTCAGGACCTCCCTGCTCCTTGGCCTTGCTCAGCCCTGACTTGACGAGGTCCGTGAGGCTTGGGGCTTTGGTTAGCGTCGGGGGCATGGGTGGCTTTTGTTTCCACTCCTCTTTGAGCACTGCCTCCCTCTCCTTCAAGCCCAGCTCCGCCTTCTTCTCCAGCCCCCGCTGCTGCTGCTGCTCCAGGCTCTGCCGCTGCTTCTGCTGCTCCTCGTACTGCTGTCGGTAGGCAGGGTTGGTGCTCAGCAGGTGAGCGTGGTAGCCCTGCTCGTTGTAGCCGTAGGGGGGCACGTAGGCGTACTGGTTGTAGTAGAGGGACTGCATGTACATGTTGGGACGCTGCTGGATAACCGAGGGCTGCTGGCTGGAGCTGCCAAGCTCCGCCTTCTTCTCTTCGCAGCCTTCACTCTTCACCTTCACCTCCGGGTTCTCCTGCTCCTCATCCTTCTTCAGCTTCAAGGCCTGTGTCTCGGCTGTGGCCTGGCCACCGGGGTTCAAGGGCCCCGGGCTTGCCTGGGGGTAGCCAGGAGAATAGTAGGTTTCAAAGCCTTGGTAATAGGGAGACTCTTTGCTCTGTGGTTGCGGGGGGAAAAGAGCTTTCTTGGCACCTTCCTTAACCAGCTGCTCTGGATCCTTCACCTTCACGCTCTCCAGCTTGCCCTCCCCATCCTCCCCGGCATCGGAGATGTCCGAGTAGGCTGGGCTGTTGGTCTTCACCGAACTTGCCTCTGCCCCGTTCTGGGTGACAACGTGGAGCGGGGTCATGGGTTGGGCTGGGTTGGTGTTCTCCAGCCTGCTGGCACCACCAATGGAGGGGCTCGGGGCATTGTCGGTGAAGCTGTAGATTTTATCCGCCTCGGCCTTGATGCTGGCGAGCCGGCTCTGGTGGGGGTCGGACGAGCCGTTCAGCAGCCCCTCGCCTTTCATCCCCAGGTCGCTGGATTCCCCCCGGAAAGGGCTCTTGCCTTCCTCTGCTCTGCAGGCTTTGCCTGGAGTCAAAGGGTTTTCTACCTCCTTGGGCTCCTTCTTCTTCTTGTCCTTCTTCTTCTTCTCCTTGGAAGGAGTGAGGGCAGGGTTGACCACGAAGGGCTCTCCCATCACCGTAGGCTTGGGCTGGATGGGTTTGAGCTGAGGGCTATTGGGCATGGTCTGGACCACGGTGGTGGCAAGGCCCGTGGAGGAACCGGGGCTGGCTGTGGTGAGGGTGGCTGTCTGGAAAGTGTAAATCGGCTGCGGAGGGATGGCTGGCGCAATGGGTCTGGCAGACTTCAAGCTTTTGGAAGGCATCTTCTCCGGCTTAGCACCAGATGCCTTCTTTGACTTGTCCTTATCAACACATCGCTTCTCCAGAGCGTCAAAGCCATCGTTACTCGTCTCATCAGCCACTGAGGGACCATCCTCAGAGCCATCATTGGACAGGGCACCTGGGTCGGTGTCTCCTTCCCCACCCAGCTTCTTCTTGCAGGGGACCTTGGTGCTGAACTTGCTGGATGGGGAGGGACTATGGGGTTCCATCAAGCGCACCTTGGGGGTGGCTGAGCGAGCCGGCGAGAGCGAGCCCTTCTGAGAGACGGCAGCACCGTTGCAGCTCCCAATGTCCGCGTGCAGGGAGGGCTCCTCGCCATACTCGCTGTCCACGTCCGCCTCCAGCTTGCTGTCGTCGTCCGTGTGCGCGTGGGCCTGGTGGTACTTCAGCCCGTTGATGTGCTTGTACTTCTTGTTACAGTTTGGGTGGGGACAGTCGATGAGGATGGGAGAAGGGCAGTTTCGGTCGAGGACAGTCGGCTCCACCTTGACCGCAGCGGGTGGCACGGCTGCCGAGCCCATTGAGTTCGTGCGGATGCGTTTGCTGCCCTTGGAGTCCTCCGAGCTGGAGTTCAGCTCCATGTCAGAGAGGGGTTTGCTCTTCCGCTTGGTGACAGAGGAGGGACTGGCCTTCACATCCTCCACCGTGCCACCGGGCGGCGTGCGGTGGTCCGAGGAGTTCTGGCTTCCCCGGCGCCCTTTGCTGTTGGCTCCCGCCCGGGTCTTGCTGCTGTTGCTGGTCCCTTTGCTGTCCGAGGCAGCGGCCGCCTCATTGACAGGCGTGTTGCTGTTGGGGCGCATGCGCTTGCCCCTGCCCCGGCCATTGCGCATCTCCAGGTCACTGGTGGGAGAGTCGCAGAACCTGCCGGGAGGAGGACATGGAAGTTTAACGGAGAGATGGCTGTGCTGGGCTGGGCTACACTGTCCCCACCGTGTGGGGGGGACCCCCCTTCATCCTCTCGCTATGGATCCTGAAGACTTGTCCCTCCCACTGACCAGTAAAGAGGAACCAGAGAGGTCCATTGGCAAATGCTCAACCATCTCCAGTCTCCGAGACAAGGGAGCCTGCAACCGCGGGGGCAAAAAGCCCCGGGAGCAGCTCGGTTGGGCAAGGAGGAGATGCCAGCCCCCACGGGCAGCCCCATGGGCACAGGGCAGAGCATACGGGGTGCCACGGGGGCCCTACGTGGCTGGGTTTGGCCTCTGTGCTTGGATGAAAGGGGCTGAGACAGCGCTGCCAGCCCCCCCTGCCCACTTACCGGGGAGGCGCCCAGTCGTGCTGCGTACAGTCGAGCAGCGTCCCCACATACGTCTTGTTCCTCCAGGTCACGTTGACCACCAGCATACCTGTAAGGCGAGGGGAGAGGGTCACATGGGGCCAGGTGTGACCCCACGGTGTCTTGCCCACCCCTGGGCACCAGGGCAAAGGGGGAGCTACCCCTCAAGATAGGTGGAGGAAGAGCTCAGCTCTAGGGCTGGAGGAAGTCAGACAAGGCGTCTTGGGGTCCCAAGAGAGGTGAGACCCCAGGCTCTGGGCCTGAGGGATACAAAGATGGGAGCTAGAGACCCCTGCTCATCCCCCTTCTTGGCATGGCTCTGGCTGGCGTCCACCCAACCTCCCCTCCTTCAGCCATTCAGTGCTCCTCCCTATTTTAATGGGGATGCTAAAACCAGCAACCCTCAAAGGGCTGCAGGATTTGGAGGCGGGTGCCTGAAGATCCACGGTGGCTCCATGTGCGCTCAGGAGGGAAAGCGATATCTGGGGAACAAGAGCCGGGAATCTCCGCAGGGAAGATGCAGGCAGCCCCCAGCAAGGCTGCAGACCCCAGCAGGGTTATGACCCCCCCCATGTGTGGCCGTGAATCCCACAGCCCTCCAGAAAAGGCTGTTATTGCCACTAGATGGCAAGCTGAGCCCAGCAACCCCGCACAGGCGACCATCCCTGCCAGGAAAACCTAACTTTGGGGGAACAACCCTCATCTCCCCTCTTTGCTTTCTGCCCACACATCCCAGGACACCCATCAGCCCTGTATCTCCACCTGGAGAACCACCTAGGGGGCCACATCTCCTCCCATCATTGACCAAATGCATTGGGCATTTGGAATGCCTGGTGGTTTCAGCTTTTTCACACCAATTCAAGAAGAGAAGCAGCCTGGCTCACACCCGTGCCGAGGATGTGGACCCTTGACAACTCTTCTTGAAGGCGGAGCGGTCTTTTGCAGCATCACTCAGCTTTGCAGGTATTTCCTCTCTGCCATGGACCGCTCTGATTACTGCAGAACTAATTTGACCAAGAGCGGGAGTCCGTTGCGCTGAGCACATTTATCTGAGCAAGGTAAAACTCGGGAGGTAGGAAACTCGTTTGCGAGGGTTGATGAGCGTGGTGAGATATACAGCCGCACAGCCCCAGGAGATAGATAGAGCAGAGGGAGCCCAGAGCAGCTGTGCCTGAAGCACGTTTATAAATCTCAGCCCGTATGCCCCATTGTGCTGTGCCAGCAGCCAGCTGCAGGCTTCGAAGGGGATAATATACAGAGCCGAGGTTTGACACGTGGGTCTCCTTCAAAAAGAGAAATGAAATGCAGGTCTTCTCTATCTCCTTCTCCTTCTGGAAAACATTGGGTGCTCCAGTGGGAGCAGGTCAGGGGAAGACATGGTGCTGGCATATGGCCAAGGCCTACAGCCGGCTCATCCCAGTCAGCAGCAGAGTCTGGCTTCTGCTGTTGGAGGAAGGTGCTGAGGACCTGCCTTAACATGGACATGGCCCAGACGTGGTGGTGGAGACGACGTAGGGTAGAAACAAGCGGCGAAACCAAATGCTGGGAGCCCACAGCCCCACGCAGGGAGAGAGCAGTGGGAAAAGAGGAGGATGCTGATCCCACATATCCCAAGGAGAGTATGTGGAGGTAGTCTTCTCCCTTGGTTCCTCCTAATGCAGCTTTTGTCAGGCAGGAACCTCACCCTCCCTTTCCTTAAAACCCAGTGAAGCTGCTGGCTGTATCCTGCGCCCCAACCCAAACCGACTCTCCCCAGCACACCCCCATGGAGCTGCTGCAGGACCGAGCAGCTGCTGAGGGACCAGCAGCCCTAACCTAGACCCATCCCTCCCAGCCACAGGGCTCACAGAAGCAGCTCCCTCTGCCCTCCCCGCTGTGCAGCCTGTGCCGGTTCAATCCCTGCTTGAAGCCGGCAAAGACCACCTGCGCTGCTGGAAGGTAACTGCATGACAAGCCACCGGAGTCTCTTGTGCACGCAGGGCCAGCGTGCAGTACTGGAAAGGATGTGCTGGCATCTATTTCCCCCCTCTCCCCGGCACAGCGAGTACAGGAGAGAGATGAAAGACGAAGGGGCGAAGTGAGCCAATACACAACGGTCCCTCCCCTCCCTGCTGGAGCGTCAAGCCTCCAACACACACCAGCCTATATTTAACCCACTGCAACCAATCATACCAAATCCCCTCCTAATCCTCCAACAATAACCCAGGACAATTTAAACCCTGGGGATAGATCCTAAGCAGCTTTTTTCACCCTCCGTGTCCCCCTCCTGCGGCAGGATGATGAGCAGGCATGGGCAGGGCAAGGGCAGGCAGCGAGGAGGCGATGCCCTTGCATCCCTGAGGCTGGAGATGCAGGGGAGGAATCCCACTCAGATAACTCCAGTCCCACCCGGTTTCATGGGAAGGGGACACCTTTGAAGCTCTTAAGCAATCAATGCCACCCAAATCTGCGTGCAAACCACTCAGCATCCTGGCCACTGAGCGTTCATGTCACTGCAGAGTCGTAGCCTGGCAGAAAAATGAACGGTGGGGGTGATGGTGCCAGGGTGCCATCTAGGAATGCAACGTACGAGCTAATCCTGTAAAGACAGATAAAGAGATGAGGGGAACGCAGGGGGATGCAAAAAGCACCGCCTGGTCCTTATACGGTCCCCGCATGGCTGCTCTGTAGCAGTGGAGCTGAGGCTCGGTGGGTGCACCCGGCTGGTGGGAGCATGGGATGGACAAGGACAACGCTGCATGAAGTCCTCCATCCCAACGCAGCCCTAAATTAGAACAGGCTAAGCCTTTCCAACAGACAGTCCCTGCTGGGGTGCAGCTCTTCCATGTCAAAACGTAGGTGGTGGTGTCTGCTTGCAAGCCAGGGCCGTGGGCACCAGGAGCCATCACATCAGGGGGAAACGTGCCCCAGGTCCCCCCAGGCATCCAAAGGGCACTTAGGGGGACCTGGAGCACGTTTCCCCCCTTTGCAAAGAAGCAGCCCCCAAGCCCAACCAAGAACATCTCCTAACCTTGCTGAGAAACCAGCAAGCCAGCACCCGCGGCGAGCAGCGATGCTCTAGCACCCATGCATGGCCAGTTCATCGCGTGGCTCAACATTACCCAGCCATAACGCTACTGAGCTGTCTCGAGCAACGCCAGGTCCTCAAGTACCATGGGGACGGCTAGAGTGCTTGGAAGAGTGTCCCCAGCCTTTTGGGAGGCAATGAGATGTTGCCTCTGCAGTTGTAGAGGACAGTCGCTGAGAGGTCTGCTAGCTTTCTGCTCGTTTGGGGGTGAAAAAGACCTCTGCAAGGCAATGGGATGACAGCCGCTGGCATTTCCCACCCCAAGGAGAGGTCTGCAGGTCTGTGAACCAGCTCAGATCCAGGGTTAGTGTAGCCCCACATCCCATCTGCACCGATGAGCAGGAACAGGGATTCAGCTTGCACTGATCTTTCTCCAGGGCACCACCAAACCTCCAGCTCCTGGAGATGTTCAAGGTCCTTCTTCCATGAATTCCTCCTCCAGCTGCATCATTTTTGGGATGCCACTTTTCCCATTAATTTCTCCTCCAGCTGCATCACCTTAGGATTCCCCTTCTTCCATTAATTCCTCCTTCAGCTGCATGACCTCTGGGGCGCTTCCAACTTTAGGATGCCCCTTCTTCAAAGCATTTTCCCTCCAGCTGCATCACTTTGGGGATGCTCTAGCTTTGCCATAAGCCCTGCTCGTGTGCAGGGAGCCTCGCCTGACCATAGCACCCAGGCTCTCTCCACCACGGGAGACAATCCTCCATGAACTTCAAGACGGGTCTTTCCCGCAAGCTGCAGTTCTTCATGAACTGCTTCCACAAGGTGCAGTCCTTCAGGAATGGAGTGCTCCAGGGTGGGCCCCATAGGGCCACAGGTCCTGCCAGAAGACTTCCTCCAGCATGAGCTCCTCTCTCTATGGGGCCACAGGTCCTGCCAGGAGCCTGCAGCAGTGCAGATTCTCAACAGGGCACATCTACCTGCTCCAAGATGGGGTCCTCCACGGGCTGTAGGTGAATATTCTGCTCCACTGTGGATCTCCATGGGCTGCAGGGGGACAGCCTGTCTCACTGTGGTCTTCACCACAGGCTGTAGGGGAAGCGCTGCTCCGGTGCCTGGACCACCTCCTCCCCCTCCTTCTTCACCGACCTTGGTGTCTGCAGAGTTGTTTCTCTCATATATTCTCACTCCCCTCTCCCAGCTGCCCTTGCACAGCATTTTTCTTCCCCCCTTCTCAAATAAGTTATCCCAGAGGCGCTACCACCATTGCTGATGGGCTCAGCCTTGGCCAGCAGCTGGTCCATCTTGGAGCCAGCTGAAGCTGGCTCTGTTGGACATGGAGGCAGCTTCTTATGCCTCCTCACAGAGAAGCCCCCCTCCACCAAAACTTTGCCGCGCAAACCCAATACAGTGTCCCTGGCAGGGTCAGAGGGAGAAAGGCTCATTCCATTAAACCACGCAGGGATGCTCAGATGGCAGATGACTGTCTCTGGCCATGTAATGCCCTTCCTTCCAAGGGAGAGGAGGGGTACGGGAGGGGCCTCAGATGCTGGAGCACAGAAAAAGCAGCAGGAAAACCTTCAGCTTGGGTCACACCAAGGGACAAGGAGCCAGCAAGGGTGTGTTTGTAGGTCCCAGTGACCAAAGCGACTGCGGGAAGTCACAGCACTTCTTGTTGACACCATGGGACGAGCATTTAGTTCACCAGGAGCTGCTGAACACGCATAGCCGCTCCTGCCCAAACCCCGCAACAAGCGTCCACATTTGGTAACAGTGATGATGTGACTATGAGCAAGGTCCTGACATCACCCTGCCAGAGGAGAGCCTGTCCCACTGCAACCCACACTGGGCAGCACCCATGTGGGACTGGGGACCACAGCTCCCTCCCCCTGGCCTGAAGCCCTTCCAGAAGATGCCTGCAGGATTTCGGGGACCTTGGTGCCTCCCCAAGGCTTGGCAGGGTGGGCAGAGCACAGCCACAGCACCAAGCCCCCAGAGCTACCTGCAAGCAGCCCAGACCTCCAGCCTCATGCTCCTGGAGAAGAGAGGCAGAGGAATCA